TGTCAAGTCACCTAGACTAATGGCCACATTGTAACATGGTCGATAGGATTCGATCTGCAGTAAGAACTAAAAAACGGAACAAAAGTTTAAGTGTTTTCTTTAGATAACATAAAGTTATGATGAAAACGTTTTTTTATTTGCATTTAGAAAATCTATAAAATCCACTTAAGTAAACCAGTTTTTTTCTTATTATTGGAATGAAAATCATTAATTGATCAGAAGTAAAAAATCTTAATGATTCAATTGAATTTATAAAAATTCTTTAAATAGTTTGGAGCTTGTATAATCTCATTGATGTGAAACAGATTTAAGGAAATCTACTTTTTTAACTTAGTAGAGACTAGATTATTCAAAAAGTACTATTGGTTAACTTTACTTCATTTATATTTATTTCATTGTAACTTAATCATTAGACCTACAAAAATATATGTATGGCATAATGATAAAAAGTTCTGTTATATCTAGAAGGTTGTTCTTGATATACCCCGTATAACGTGAGCACTAGAACGCCAGAACCCTTCCAAGTCAAGATGAGAAGATAGAAGATTAATGAAAGGAATATTATTCCCAGACAGTGTTATGAAAATCCATTTTCTTTGGATTTATCCTACTCTATATACATTTCAATTGTATTTTGATGAAGAAATTTGTAATTTTAAATTAAATCACATAAAAGCACAATCAATATATAATACACAATTTAACTAAGAAATAGGACGATATTTTATGTTAATATAATAGTTGAATTCATAAGTCAATTTAAGCTAAACCATCATGGAAAACCTAGAACCAATGGGTGGTTGTTTCATCCTAGTATGGGACTCCGCATCAATGCGCATCCACAATAATCCTGCATGAGGGATTTGAACCTAGGACCTATCGGCCTCGCACGTGAACGCTTAACGTCTAGACCACCGATCGGGCATCCAACAGTGTTAATGTTTATCTTCAACAAATCCACGATATTATAATGATGTAATGTCTTATATTTATGAAATATAAATGTTACAGTTAATCACAAGCTAAAATGAACAGGATGGACTTCAAAGCTATAGAAAGTGAATATTTACTGAGGGGTTTTTATCGATTTATTAAAAATCAGGTTGTATGTGTTTCTTTTACTTATTCATTACTTATAATTATTAAAGTAAAAATGAATCTCTTTCTTATGAAGTACTTGACCTTACAATATAGAACAAATTCATTTAAAACAAAAAAAATATTGTTTTGTCCAAAATAAACTCTGATAAAGAAAATGAAAAAGGTATTTTATCGTCAAATTCAGGGTAGAAAGAACAATGAATCAATTCTGTTGTTAATTATTAATGACAGTCAGATAATACACAGAGTTCTCTTGATCATCTTGAAGAGAGTAAGAACTAAGATTTGAACAGAACGACATGAATTCATTTTATTTCATTTAGTTTTCGTCAGCTGCTCGCAACCTGTAATATTTAAAAATCATAATTACAAACTGGGTTTACATTACTTACATGAATGAGTTTAATGGGAAGTTACCTTGAAGAAATATCAGTATAGTATGACAAGGATGGAAATAAATTCAATTGATTGAGTAAAATATTGTAAATATATACCTTATATAAAAGAACATTCTACAATACTGATAATAATAAAGGTCCAAAGGGCTAGAAGTAAGTTATTACGTAATGAATACACAAATAAGAACAAACTGAGTGGAGCTCGGATAATTAAAATAAGATTACGAATCTAGAAGACAGTTGAAATAAAAATAATTTAATGATGCAGTTTATTAAAAGAAAGAGCCGAACAAAATCTTACGATGCAATCAAGGGATATTTGTCATCAAGGCAAAAAATATTAACAACCATCTCCTTTTGAACATATGCATCAGGTATCTGATGCCTGATAGAAGTGACTTCAAGAAAATTCAGAAGACTGGAACTTGACTTTTCATTAATCGCCTTGAAAGGATCGACCTGATATCCTGTATCCAAGCGATGTTTAATAATTGCGCTGTTTGAAATACCTTTCTCTCTTGTTTGAAGGCTTTTTGGAACATGTTCAAAATACTTAACATCTGCCCTCCTTTCTGTCCAACCAGTGTCGCTGCTTTGATGAATACGCGTAAAATTATAAACACAGCTGGCGGTAACACAAAAGAGGTGATTGTCTATCTTTACTTAAGTTGGTCTTCAGTAAGTTGGTAATTTAAATTCATTTTGTAATTATGATTTTTAAATACTACAGGTTGTTAGCAGCTGACGAGAACCAAATGAAATAAAATGGATTCATGTTGTTCTACTCAAATCTTTGTTCTTTCTCTCTTCAACTTGGGGATCATTTTTCATATTGTCAACTGAGTGAAAGATGGTACAATGACCATAGAACTCGTCTGTGAAGGAAATATATTTTTACTACTTAGTAAAAAAATTGATGTGGACACCACTAGTCAATGGGCGTTTATAAAATGCAGCTAATTTTCATAAGAATTCAAGATTTAGATAGATATAGTTAGAATGAACGGATTGGATTCAATTATAGGCAACTTTAAATTACATTGACAAAACTATAACTCCGAAACACGTTGATTTATTGATCTATTTACATAGTCGAAAAATAGATGGCTTAAATATTTGAGCAGGCCTCTGGGTGAATTCTATCCGTATAAAATAAAATAGATTTGTGAACATTTTTGTAAGTTCAACAAGTAGCTTTAATTTATTATATCCGAATACTTGATAATATCATTCTAATGTTGTACAAAAATACTCATTTAGAGTTCAAATGATTTTCATAATAAGAAATATTCATTACAGCAGATGGGATGGCTTGATTTTACAACTTCACGTAAACAGCTCAACTGAGATGAAGTTATTCATTGATAAAATTATAGTAGATTAAATAAATAAATAGCTGTCCAGAACTCTGATTTTTCCATGTCTTCGAACCAATTTTAATTCATGACAAAGGCTATTATCAGATTTGTAAGATCTTCATAGACTATTTCAGTGAATAGTATTCCATTTCCTATAGGGCATACGTCTTGAGACAGTATTCAAACGTTCTTGTGGAATGTTATGATTTGTAGAGTTAATGAAATAAATACTGATAATAGATACTCAATGGTTAGATTGAATGATTTTTGTGCTACACTATGAATTGACTGAAGTGAATTTAGGAAAATGTCTTTCGGATAAATTGCTGAATAGTACCCTGTTACTCAGGTGAATTACATGCTCTGAGTTTAATTATGAGTATGAATAAAACTGTACATTTTGAAAAAATTCAAAAAAGTACGATAAATTGTCCACTTCTTGATTTCTATTAATTACAGAAATGAAATCAAAGCCTAATGAAACTAATTCACAAACGAGATTGGATGTTTAAATTTTGTTCACTATTATAAACTTTAATATATTGTTTTGTATCTAGCCATTTTTTTTAGCTTTAAGCTTACTTTTAAGTGATTATAAATGTTGATAGGCATAAGGACATGACCGTGAATGAGATAGGATAAGATGAACATATGTAATTCATGGTGATAGTGAGTAATGAACAAAAATGTAGGATCCTAGTAAACTGATGTTATACAGGTTCGAATGTTTTCCACCTTCCATTGATGTGACTTTAATACTTAACATGGTTTTTTTAGATTATGGTGATAATATTATAGTGTATAGCTTATGTGTTTATTTACCTTAGAATAAAAAATTGATATTTTTACTGTTAAAATGTAAAAATAATTGTTGTTATATTATTACCTAACTTTAATCAGTTTCTAGTTATCTAATCTTATTGACTTTTATCAATAAACACCTTATATAATATAATTTTAAAAATTCATTAGCAATAATTTCATTAACAGATATATTTTTTATAGTTGAACTCAAGAATCGATTAAAACTAGACCACCACTGAAAGTCTAGAATTACCGGACGACCATTTCGTCGTAGTATGGACTACTCAACAGTGCGCATCTACGATCCTGAACGCGAGATTCAAACCCATGACTTTAAATCTTGATTCATTATCTCAATCAAAAAACTTAACAATCTCCACAATTCCATACTGATAATTCTAAAAGTGATTAACACTTGACATTTCCAAAAGTTTAATTCAATCAAGAATAAAAACTTTGTGTTGTTAGGTATTAGGATGCTAAACTCTACTTGTAAATTATTCATTTTTGTACACATTTTACTTACTTACGCCTGATACCAATCACAGAGGAACAAAGACCACCCAAAAACATTCTCCATCCAACACTGACATGACCAATCATTTCCACTTCTTTCCACTTGCTATTCATCATTTTCATGTCTGCTTACAATTCACAAGCAATGTGTTATTCAACTTTCCTCTTTTCCGTTCCCATTCAACATTCCAAGTTACAGCTTGCCTCGTGATGCACATTGGTGGTTTTCTCAATGTGTGTCCTATCCACTACCAGCACATCTTCCTAATTTCCTCTTCAGCTGCAAGTCAGTTTGTCCTCTCGCATAGTAGGCTGTTCCTGATGCTATTCGGTCAACGGATATTGAGTATCTTGCGTAGACAACTATTTATAAATACTTGTACACTTTTGATGATGGCTGTGATATTTGTCTAAGTTCCATCTCTATACAGTAGAACTATCTGTCCTGACGTTCGTATTGAAGATTGTGACTTTGACATTGATTGACAGTTGTTTCGAGTTCCATGAGTTCTTCAACTGTAGGAATGATGCCCTTGATTTGCCAATCCTCTCCTTAACGTCTACATCGAATCATCCATGTTCATCGATGATACTTCCCAGGCACGTGAATGATTGCTCATTTTCCAGAGTTTCACCATCAAAGTGTGATTGGGTCGGTAGTATACATTTTAGATAGGCCTTTATTTTTCACTGAATATATCCCTGATACTTCTAATGTATGTTTATGTATGAAAACCGTCTTTCTTATATTCCACTTTTCAAATACAATATTACAGATTAAAATAGTCTTATAATTATTTTTTTATACATAAACATTGCTTACTTATTTTTACTGAAATAAATCCAGTTTAATCCAGCTTAATAGATTCAGCAGACTTTTGTAAAAGAATATGTAAATAAGTGAGAGAAAAATAATTGTAAAGCCTTATAAACTACTAAAATAATAATAATAATAATGATAATAATAATAAATAACCAAATTAAATTAACAGTTAACCAATCAAAATAAAATTTCCCAAAATTTATTTATCAATTTTGATTGGATAATTGTACACGAACTGATTAAATTTATAATGTACAGTCGTTTGTTTATTTGTTTCTTTCTTTTCTTCTATATGAAATGCAAATACACAGAATTCCCATGTTATTTATTCAGTTCAATGAAGTTAAACGGCTTTGTTCAACAGAATACTTCATTAAATTAGAGTTTATTAGGTTTATGATATAAACTTTGATTAGAATAGAAGTGAGGTCATTTGAGTATATTTTCTTATTTTTTTATTCCTTTGAGTATTTATAATTCTAATATGAGTAACATGAAAATTTATACTTATATTGTATACAGTAAAAATAACAATCAAGTTGAACTATTAATAATGATTTATTTCATTTATATGACTTTTATCATCTTTAAAACCATAAATAACTCACTTGGGATATGATTAAATCTCGTATTTTAGAGCCTATTAGCAGCTTTCGGACTCGATTTCAGACAGTATACTCCCCCCCCGAAAAAGTGTTTATAACATTTTTTCGATCAGAATATTTTGACCAAAGTGAAGTTAACTAACAATTAACTGAATATAAACTATCTATTTGAAATAACAAGAGTTTCCAATAAAGTTGCCTATTCACTGAATAGAATCGAGTAGAACAACTTTGAGCTTTTAACTTGAAATTCAAAAAATAGATTAGATTTATCTTAGTTATATATAATATGCCCTTGTGGGCCAGGGTAATTTTACATTGGTTTTCAGGAGAACCAGACACCATCCGGACTTTCACACAAAAGCCCTAGCAGTACAGCTCAACCCCGTTTAGCAGGGGAACCAGACACCGTACAGGCTTAAATAGATTTATCTTGCATTACATAAAATGGTTGGTAAAATTATCTCAAAACGTTTAAAGTTATCAAAAAAACATCCATTGCTAATATAGGTTACAAATGACTGGATGAAATACAATAAGTGTTTACATTGTACATAATATGTTAGCCAAATGTTTTTTATTTCAATTATGCTCTATTGCTTCATCAAAGGTTTACAAAATGTCAAAAATGATAACGATTCCAAAGTTTGACTTTCCCACATTGTTGTTTTATAACTCCATCTCACTAACTCTCCAGAGAATTTGTTAATAAACATTTCGGGGGTGTCGATAAATTTCTTATAAAACTTTTCCACTATGAAAATAATTTATAAGGGAATCAATAATGTGGTTGTGTCCGCAATTAGATAAATCACATTACGTAACAATAAGACCAGAAAACTGATGCTAAAACTAACTAATAAGTTTACATAAATCTTTGTATGCTCATAGTTTTGTTTATTTCTGTAACGAGACACATGTGATTCCTGGTACTTACTGGCAAACTTGTAGTTCTTGGTTTGTATTTATTGGTTGTTTGAAATTTGCATTGATGTCTAGGACTCCAATTAATCAGTCTTTTGCAGGGATTGCCTCGATACTGCTACAAAGTCGCAAACCTTTTTCAAGCAGAGATAGAAGGTAGTTAGTAGTGAAATCCTAGATGTGCACTTCGTCATATTTACGACTCGTTAACTGTATTTACCTGCATCCCAGAATTGATATTCATTCCGGGACTCGAATCCAGTACCTTCCGTCTTAAACGCTATCATGCTGATCTGTGGCTACCTGGACTCAGTCGCTAAGTAGATTAAGCAGTGACGTTTGAATAGAATGAAATGAAAACTCTGGACTAAGTGGCTGACATCTCATTATATGCTTCGATATTCGTGTTAGCATAAACAAAATGTCATCATAATAGGTAGTGCAATATTAACCAACATTATCAGTAACATATTATGTAATAAAGGGGTATTTATTTGTTTTTACTTTAATCAAATTAACCTTACATTTTACTTTCCGATTGGTTTACAGAAAGATTTTAGTGTTATTTCAGGTTCTATTTAACAAGCTACTGATATGCTATTAAATAAGATTTCCCCAGTCTGTTAATACAGATGAAATGTTTCTACTCTACTCTTTATTTTTTAACAACTCTCCACAGAAATGCTTCAGTCAGCATTCACAGTGCTCTCATAATGAAATTGAAAGCACTTTTGATTGACTGAATAATTAGTTGAATCACAATCTCAAGCACTCATGAACTGGATTTGTTAATCATGGCCTTTTATGCACTACATATTACCTATTTTTATTAGTTTAACAAATGCTATCTGGAGTTTTTTCCATAACTAAGAACGTAACTAATTGTTTCACTGTTTGTAAGAAATAATTTCAGTTTGATCAAATCGATGTTGAATTTTTTGGCGGGTAATAGAGGTATGATGAAAAGTCTTTGACGAATACTTTTTCCACAGTTCCTACTGACATAAGACAACTTTCAATCAATGTTTTACGAGGGAATAGTTTGTTAAAAATATCTTCGGGTTATTCTGTAAAGTACTTTTATTTGTTACAGGAGATCGTCTTAACAATAATCAACTAATGTAGAGTAGACAATATTATATTCCGGAGTTCTCAAAGCTTAACAACATCTCCTTGATCATATCTGAAAGGTAGTTAACATTAATGTGTTGGAGACAAGTATTTACTTGTGAAATTCTTATTTCATATCTATGCCTGATATCACTATCATATACTACTAATATTAGAAACCAACCTCAGTAGCATAGCTGTTGACAGAATAGTACAGATGAACCTAGACTATAGAGAAACTGCTGCGCTTAACAAGCTATATTAAATCTAGACTCATATAGTTAGCTGTGAAGTTAACCTACTGTTACTATCATAGGTGGAAGCTTCCATTAATGTCTGTGGAGAACTTTTTCGCTGAATCTTCTTAACATAGCGCAGCCTAAAATAAGATTTACAATAGAACACAAACATCGTGATGAATTTTACTTTCTTGATTCAGATAAATCTTAGTGGCTAAACAGAAAGATCCATTTATCCAAAAGGCTCTTGGAGTAAGCTTTATTTGAATTCCAATAGTTTCTCTCAAATAAGTACGAAAAGGCTTTGGTCAGAATACTATTCAATCATATATTGAAACTATGTTCGTAATAGGAGAGTGAAGAAGAATTAACAATAGTCAAAAAATGCCTGAGATCTTAGTTGCCTAGAAAGGTTCTTCAGTAAGTATGAAAAAAATGCAGTAACGAAGGGAATGGGATTTCCTATAGTTACGAAAAAGCCAGTCTTTTTACGACTTAGCTTCAAAGGTGATGAGATAACTAATATGATTAGTCCTATAGTATTGAGTTAAAAGGATTTATCCAACCGCTAAACCGGTCTCTTAGTATTAAATTATTTACAGATTAAGATAAATAAAAATAAACACATTGTTCAAAATAATCAGCACTCAAGAGATTTCGAATTGAAACTTTTCACCTTGATGGATCTGACTTTCATTATTCAGTTGAGCGATTTCTTATTTCATGTTCCTAGTTATGTTTCTTCATTTTTTTAAGCCTTATTTATTTTACTGTTAATCTACCTAATTGAGCCCTTGTCATTATATAACCTTTGACATTAATTTCCAAATGTCAAAAAAATATTTCGAGAATCTTCACACTTGATAGCAAAAATATGCATTCATTTTGATATTCTATAATCCTTCCACACTTGTTGTTATTTCCCCCAATCCTCATTAATATGATACAATGTATATTGGTTGCAAATAATCATTTATAGGTTGTAAGCACCTAACCTATACTTACATTTAATTTAGCCTTCCAGTTAACTTATTTAGCAGAGTTATTCGAACGGTAAGAATTTGTCAATAATTTTCTATTATGTCTGTATGAACATGTATGCTTGATCACGCGTTAGAGTCTATGCACATACCTCTCTCATATCTTAGTTATTAGTTGCTTAAATCGCATGACGACTCATCCGCTTTCCCCTATAAATGTGCGTGGATCTCATCAATCAATTCTGCTCATTATCCAACTCTTAATTCCCGTATGTATTTGCTCGCTCACATTCACATTTTTGGTCTAATTCGTTGTTTGCGGCTTAGTGCTGCTTTGTATTGTCTTCTGAAATCTTGTCAATCTATAACAATTATGAGGACAAGTGGTACACAAAGCCTTAGGAACTATCTTGAAGATGAACCACAACAATATCATGAAGCGAATTCATTTTATTCTGCTACTTCTTTTGTTCTTGCACTACTCACTTACACCTTTTACCCCTCGTTGAAGAGCATAGGATGGTTCTTGCATTATTCAAGTTTAATAACCCACAAAATTCCAGGTACCAATCTGCTTTCTATTTACTAGTAAACTAATGGGTCTTCCAATGGTAGACATTATATTAATTTATAATACATGATTTTACGGCTACGCATAGGGGAATAGTTGCACATGATAAATAATTAAAATTTCGAGTTCTCTCTGAAGGATAAATGAAATTTCACAGTAACAAATCATACATTTACTTCGTAAAAGCTAGCTGAACTCTCAGAGTTGAAGATACACAATCACTTTTGGATTTCAAAATATACCAAACAACTATAAAAAATGTCAAAATTCCTGCTTTCGTGAGATTTTTGAATTATAGCTGCATTACTTATGAGTAATTAGATTCTTACTGCACAATTTTCTTCCGTACACTTAACTGGTTGACAGTAAACTATTCTCTCATAGGGAGGTATACTTTGTCAGTTCGGCTATATTGAACTGGTCGTTTTATGCTTATCTGTGTCAAAAGTAAGCTACTATTCCTGGGCTCATCACCTTGAATGTGAATTTCCTAACCTAAACTAATGATTGCTTATTTTAGATCCATTTACTGTATATTCATAATCGTATATTATTTCTCTGAGAAGCCTTAAGTTTTCTCATTTTAATCCAAATTAGGTGGATTATTCCGGTGAATTTGACAACTTTCATACAACAAATAAATGCAACGTAGTATAAGTCACTAGCATGCACACAAACGATCTAGACAATTAAGTGAAATATACTCTATCAGCTTCATATTCTGTTAGGAAGGTTGAAATGGAAATTACATTTATAAGACAGTTTAAGTTACCTCAGACTAGTAAAAATAATGATGTATTTGTTTATATTTAGAGAATCATACTAACCTGAAATCTTAGTAATGATTAACTGTGCATCACAAAATGCTAATTATGACAATTCTTTTTAATGACTAATTAAAAACCATAGTGGTTAGAGTATTTGGTAACGACAGTATATATTTTTGATTAGGTATAAAGTTGGTCTTACAATACATTGTACCATCAACTGACTGATGATACCGTTAATGAATTACACTTAAATAACAATTGATTTCTTAAAAATCTTCGTTATTTCAGTTATAATCACTCACTAGTACACATATTTGGTGAAAGCTTTTGTCAGTATTTATCAAATAACCTAGGGATTGTATGTCTATCCTTCAAAGGTACATCAGCAGCAAACAATCTAACAGGATGATTTAGACTTTTCACTAGTTATATATTTGTGATGCATGATACCTATATCGAGAGTCAAACAGTATGTAACACCAACCAGAAGTGGAATGCCTGTCAAAAGAAGGTTGAGAAGATTGAACTGAAGAAAACAGAGAGGAATTGATAATTGAAAGAATCATGAGGGATGTGTTGGACAATTGATGGAAGATTTGCAAATGAACTATTTAATGTATGTTTTTCACAGTTTGAGAAAGAACTCTGTAATTTTGCATTAAACAATAAATTGATTGTCCTCAACTAACTTCTCATTCACGACATATTGAGATGTATGAAAGTGTTTAATTGATATGAAATTCTTGTATATACCATGATTTTATCTCTAATTCTGACACTCTCGTTAACCAGTAATATATACAATCGCTGTATGAAAAATGTACATTCGTTGAGAATTTGATGAAGATGTTAATTTAATATAAAGATAAGAATTCTGATAACGATTAAGCACCCAGCTAACCCATTGAAGTTCTTTCCAATGAAGGAATATTGATAAATCAATATTTTAAAATTTATTAATTTATCTTGTGTTAAATTATATAAAAAAAATTTCTAAAATTTATTTTGATCACTTGCTAAATTAAACAAAAATCTATAAATTGATAAACGAGAACCATGTGATCAATACTTGTTTCTCTTATCGGTTGTTAGACGTAGAAAATAATCGACAGTAATCATGAGGAATTAAGTTAATTGAAAGGTTTTTACGTTCACCTCCTTATAGACCCTTAATCTTGCGATTTCAAGTCATTCATTACACCTGATCGGTAATTATCTTAACATGAAGCATTATCATTATAACTTGAAGAATGAATGCGATAAATTAAAAAGGGTAAGAATTTGTATAATTGAAGCATGAAAAGGAAGAGAAACAAAAACCCAGGGCTCTTTATTTTTCAACATCTTTTAACAACGATTACCGGTCCTAAATTAAAAAGTCAAGTAAACACATGATACAGGAAGTATATCTATGAGTTTCCTTTAACCTGTGAGCTACAAGAACTTGAAAAAAATACACTTTTAAGTTTACCAATTGTTGTGAACACGAGTCAAATCACAGGAGTAATGGTACTATGGTCAAACGGATATTAAAATGAAATTCCGTAAATAATCGGGAAGAAAAACTTTTTTTATCGATTGAGTAGTATCTCATCAGTCGACATTTTTCACTTAGTCATGAACAATACGGTTCAAGTTTGAACTTGTAACTAATTAGCTGACAGATAAATACTCGAACCACTAGTTCTCTGTTCAACCACGTTTAATGAAAAAAAGGTTCAAATGTCTGATTGTTTTATTTTGTTGTATAAATCATATCAAGTAATTACAGCTTTCATCCGGTTCCCCTGAAAGTAAAGAAAAATAAACGATGAACATAAATTGAACTGTGATGAGGAAACATTACTTGTACTAACGTTATATTGTTATGGAATCAACAAACAGAAGACATCGCTAAAAACTCCAATAGCTGACGTATCATGTCTATAAATTGAATTTTACGTCTTGAAAATCTTTTAATACAATTAGTAATTCAAGTTAGTATATCAAAATATATATACTGGTTCCACTTAGAAAACTTACCCAATGATAAATATAGATGTTCAGTGATTCTGTCTCCTATAACAACAGAGATTGTTAATAAAGACAACATGCCATCGACCTGTATGTTTTTACAGACGTACATTACAAACTGACATCACCCATGTACATTGTGTTGGATTTTTAACATAAAAATTGTAGACACTGTTGAAATAGACTAACTAGCATCAAGAGGTTGTAGAGAGACGACAGAAATCCTAAATTTATGGACAAATCGTTGTTTAAAGTCTTAAGAGACTACCAGCATTTTCATTGAGCTTTATAACTATACCTAATCCCTATTTGTGCCTTTCATTTTATTGGAATGACTAATATTAAACTTACTTTTACTTATTTATTTGGGCAAATAAATATTGGTAAAAAGGGGCACCGAATACATGTGCACCAAACAAGTCACTTGATTTGTGTGTGAGCTATGATACCCACGTAAATTTTCTGTCGAGTGGAAAAGGTAAGTGGAAGCCAGTTTATTTAATCCCTTTGTCTGAGACAATTGATCTGCTGACAACTGAAACCGAAGACGAGTTTGAAAGATATTATATTATGACCAAGGAGGTGAATCTAAATGAATAGAAGTTTTGTAAACATCTGGACCATCAGTGACCGATTTTGTATTACGATTTGAGCTTAGGTTTCAGTTGCAGAGGAAATCAATTAGGTATAAGTAAAGGCAACCTACGCTACATAATTTAAAATCAACAAATGTTTATTAGTTCCCTTCATATCTGAACACTTAAAAGCAAGCATTTAATTCATTGGATGTCACAACTATATATGTTGAATAAGTTTGGTTAAACTCATTCAGTTGATGGTAGAACTCATCTCAGACCGTAATCTATGGAACTATAGGTACAATTTTAAAAGTATGTTTCTCTTACTAGTTACTTCTTTCTTTTATTGAATCTTCTGTCTCAGTAACATACAAACTGGTGCTGATAAGCATTCAATTGATCGTTCCACTAATATAACTTAAACTGAATGGCAACTGAGGTGATATCAAAAACCTAGGGAGAATCCGGTTTTTGACGAAGAAAAACTTGAAAACTCATATCATAAGCAATTTGTAGTCCAAGAAAATGCATAAACGGACTAACAGTCGAACTATTGTGCAAAAAACAAACCATTTATTTTATATCAAGATTCTGGAATAGCAAAGGAAGGTAATCACCGTTGAAAGACTATTGTATATTAACAGTGAGTGTGCTTTATGCACACAAAAACTTTTGAAGAATTCCACCTGGTAGTGTGATATATTATAAAAAGTCTATCTAGAAAGTTCAAGAAAAGTGTCACATGCAGGTTAAATTACCCAAGCAAACGATAATCGGATTCAAGAATATACATACTTTAATACCACTTACATGTCAATTCGACGTCGTTTTGCTTCTAACTGGCGTGCTTCTTTTTCTTTTCGCTTGATAGAATGTACCATTTTCTTATATACATTTTTGTGTTTTTTTGGTAACATTAACTCCCTTAACTTACGTTCAGCGTTTGCTTCCTCCTTCTCTTTGTAGATCTTAACTGTTTTGCTTTCAACTCGACCAGGTGTTACTTTGGGTTCCTTACCTAGTGTTTTTATTCCCCACATAAGAGAAAAAATGACTTAAAACTCGTGGGAATAATTATATTTTATTTAGATCAAAAATAACTTGGAATGATCTTTATTTTAATTGTTTAACCATCACATAAATAGAATAATAACTATAAGTGGTTTGTAATATTCTAACTTAATTATGTGCGTAACAATGAACCATAAAATGGTACAGTTGGAAAGACCAAATACACCTTTACAAACCATAACAAATTCCATTCCAGTTGGAGATTACATTTTTCGCTCGGACATTGAGAATACTGATCTTAAAGCAAGGAGACCTAACAGACACAATCCTGTTAGTTGGAAATGTTGACAACTGAGAAAAATGATTCAAAAGTAATTAAGCTACATATGCGTTTTGAAAATACTGGACATCACATTATGGCATGTATGTAAGATTCACTTCATTAAAATTTGATTTCACTAATTCTATCCTTTAAGGAGGTTTGGTAACCAGAATTAATAAATAATCGTGCTAGATCCCAGACTGCTTTGTTTTTTAAATTCGTCCAATCCATTGTGAATTATTGACCGCAATGAAGATTTGTGTATTTCAGTGAACTATTTGAAATTATCCTATTAAAGTCTATTATATCAGTCGCTTACAACGTAAGACCAGGCACATACATGCATCGGTCCAAGTTGCCACACCTCATTAGCACAACAAGATGAACAACAAATTCATAGAAGCAGGGAGAAAGAATTAGTTCGTAGAAATAAAGGTATAAGGTAATTTTAATCTCATGGTTTAAAGGAAGACAAATAGTGTACACACCTACGTCATTGTGATCGATTCTGAGCCATGTCACACAGTCTCCAATCACTAGTTACAATAGTCGCGCAGACCTCAACCAAGTAGTCTGCATCTACCAACATCACTCAAACCAGATGTTAGTGACTTCAAGAACTGATGCCATGTTTTGGTTTGGCCGACCCTAACTTTTTTCCATCCGTTTCTAACACTAGTCAGCATTGAGCGTCGTGGTAATCGGTGGTTGGGTGTGCGTAATACGTGATCCAACCACCTCAGTCGATGAAGATTCACGACCTCATCAACTGATTTACTATCATTCCCTAATACTCTGAGTCTAAGCTCATTATTAATTACCCGGTGATCCCAGCAGATGCGAACAATATTTCTAAGACATTTGTGATCAAATGCTAGTAACTTACGAGTATCTTCCACTCTTAATGGCCGCGTTTCGCAGCCGTAAAGTAAAACAGAACGAACTCCTGTGCAATATACTTGTTCTTTATTTGATAGACGGATATGTCGCCTTCGTCACAAGTGATGTAAATTGGCAAAGGCCAAACGAGCTTTTCGAATCCGTACTGAGATTTCATCAGACGCCAACCCATTAGGACTGATCAGACTCCCAAGATAAGTGAAGTCGTCGACGCATTCAACTTCTTCACAACCTATCCTTATTTCAGGTGTTGACGCAGGCCATTTCTAAAGCAGCAACTTGCATTCAGAGGGGGAGAAACGCATTTCACACACTGACCTTATGTAATATACACAAGGTCTGTTTTTTCTAACTTCTATGGAGAATAACCGTACAGTGTTTCCGAAGCACCCATTCACTGATTGAGCGACCAGGAAATGGAAGTGCATTAAACAAGCACAAGTATTATAATAACGAAATAGTACATTTGTAAGTGAAGCAACATGCACTACGTTGCGCAACATGGGTAACCCGATTTTCTACTCATTGAAGGATTAAAAGTAAGTTGTTTCATTATTATAAACAATCCAACCTTGGTATTAACATATACTAGCCCAAATATTATAGGTGAAGAATTTACATCTGTGATTTAGTGGTAAAACCAGGGTCGAACCCTATTCCACCTACTTTCATTTGTACGGCCGAGCAATATTACTAGCCCTAATACAGTGTACCTCAAAACTGAGTACGCAAGCTTGCATTTGTCAGATGGGTATCATAGTAATGGCAATAATAAGTGTTTTCATCAGTGATTCACCTAATATTACCAAAAGATTACGTGCAAAAAATATTGAGAAAGCCAAGGCTCAGTCATGTACAAAGCATACCTTTTGAAACTTTCTTAAGCTTGGATCGCTCCTTTGTCTGTACATTGGTTTTTAAATCATTTTCTTCTTTAGTGGAAGAATCATTCAAAAGGTCATTATCCACTTCTGACTGACTCTCGATAGTGCCTTCAGACTGGGCTTGGACTCTAGCTCCACGGATTTCAGCCAGACTCACCAAACCAGCAAGGTAATCTGCCTCTGGTGGACGATAGATAGATGCACCATCCCCAAATCCAGGAGCAACACCGACAAGTCCACCACGGTTTGAAAGTGACATAACTGCAGTGTCTAAAAGTTCATCAGTACCAGAACTTCCAATAAACGGACTTAAATGAGGTGGGAGACTACAACCCGGTAAGTAATCTTGTGTTGGCAACAGTCTCCCTGCATTTAAACAGTCGAAAACCCACTGTGGTTGGACATAGTAACTGTCGTTGAATAATAATAGAAGTAAGACTTAGTTAAGAGATATTAAACACTATTCTTTGTTATAATTTGTTTAAAAATTCTAATGACTAAACCAAACCTTACATAAGCGAAACCAATGTGGCTTTTCTGTGTGAAATTCACTCGGTCGACAGTAGCTACGGAATTCATTTTTTTAGGTTAAACAGAAAATGACAAAGCAGAAGGATTAAAGGTGTCAACTTATGCCGTTCACGACAATGCTCATGGTAAGCGTTCGTATAATACACTTACGTCTTTAAGCGGTCAATCATACTGATCTGGTGAACAAAACATCTACGGTGGCATATATTATTCGTTTTGAATCGATAATCTAGAAACGATGTATCCCATAAAGTTAACACATTTTATTCCACAAAATAAGTAGTAAAATTGCTTCAGATTTAGCTAAAATGTTCACTTAATAGAAGATAACATCAATACTCTAAACCATTAACCACAAACAGATCAGTTCTGGGTTTTATTATCCTACTTAAGAATTTCGAGGCCTGTTAGCTTCCCTAGAGTTAGACTGAAGTTGGGAGTATTACCTTCGGTCTTCAGTTTTACTGTCAGTATGTAATGAGGTACCTAAGATCACATTTCTGTGCCAAGTTACATTTTGTCTATACTCGTCTTCATACTCCAAGTACAGAGTGTCTATAGTTACCTACTTCTTTGAGTGCACTCACTGGTTAATTTGTGCGAGATTGGTATGTGGGAAAGACCCAAGCTTTGTTACAGCAGTTTATCCGGGAACCAAGTTTCTGGTTAAAATTTAATACAACGATTTCTGCTTATAGCCTTCACTTTTGACAGATAAAAAATTACGACGAATAATACATATTTAAAACTGTCATGCCGGCTCCAAGTAGTGAAAATAGAGTGAAACTGCTAGGCAGCTTTCCATGGACGGGCAGGATAACGAATCGAAATCCCACAACGCGATTTTCCCAACTTTCAGTACAAGTTAACTATTATTAGATTCGGGTTGTCAAGTTATACATAAGTACAAACATGTGTTGCTTTTGCTGCAACTTGTTGGTAAAATAATAATACATTTATTAGCATTTTATTCAAAGGCATAATACCAAAAGATTATTAAACCAAAAAAAGTGAAACAATAAGTTGTCAGACAACTGTAAACTTTAAATTCCGTTGATTAGTTAAGCATCAATAATTCGGTTGAAGTGATCAACAGACGAATATAGAACTTACCGTGTCAATTTCATATCTGTCATCGGACGATCTACTACTTGGTAGTCAACAGTAGGGTCATCTTCTTGGAATGTATATCCTGGAGAAACAATTTTATCCCAGGAACACTCCCCGCCACAAGACCGTATAATCAAACATATTACTTCTCGTGGAACTTCACGCATAAGGAAAAACCGTTTGTTTTTGAAAAGCTTTTTCACGTTTTGAACTTCTATTTGCTTACTTATCGCTTGCGAAACCTGCTCATCAATAGCCTAGGATTAAAAAGCAAACTTCAAGAGTTCAGTTATACCAAGGGAGATTTTCAATCTACTGAGTTTTTTACATTTTCTAAACAAATGAACATGATTTTACAAAAGAAAACGGATATCCAACACTAAAGTTGGTCGTGGAATAGTCATCAGCACAGAATGCTCTCGGATAGCTTACAAGTTTCAGCACATAGTTTATAGCAGTATATTCCTTAAAACAGGTAAAAACCAGTTAACTATTAGCGAGCAAGACAATATTGAGTAGAATATCTTGCTGGAATGTCTCGAAAAAAAACATCACAGTATGTAAACAAGTGAGTAAAATCTTATGTCATAAGGCTCAACATCCAAACAGTTTCATCCATTAGACAGTGAGGCATATATTTAATAAGATATAATTATACACCTAAGATTTTTAAAAATATGTGGATCTGCTAGGTTTGAAGCTATTACGAGCTCACTTAGTATGCGAACGGAACAAAGACTTGTGACCGTAGACCAATAAGCTAGCTATTTGATGCGTCCCAACCCCGCTAACTAGAGGAAGAAGTCCAAGCTTGGGACGGGAAAGTATATTCCGCAAGCCAGAAACACGAGTGAATAATAACAGACACAAATCAAACGTATATATACAGCATAAAACTGTCCTTGGGGAGCGTTGCAAAAACAGCATACTAAAAATACACAACGGACCAAGTGGGAAATACGAGATGAAGGTGAAAAGTGAGCTTTCGGCGCGAAAACAAGTAAATTTGAATTTTCAAAATAAAATTATAAAATTAGGGCATTTACCAAGTGAGTTCTGGGGATCTAACATCCCCAACGGGATTTTAAACTTAAACCCAGTAGAGAAAATGTCAAGTGTAACACAATGATCAAGTGCAAGCTTATGTGCTTGGCTCTGAATATCACTTTTCGTGGTGCTTAGAAGATCATGGTATTACTCAAGTGTCGTTAATGTTTAAGTCTTATTAGTGACAGTATCTGTAAGTGCTCTTTTGCCAACTTAATTTTCCACACGACCCTTGATTTATCTGACTGCTTATCACTACTTCGAATTCTCTGTGTACTATAGGGGTCGGCTTTCGCAACTATATGTACTAACCAATACTATTTCGAACTATTCTGCTTGAATGTTAATTCCTTCTTGAACTTCGTTTTCTCTTCATGTCAGCTGCTAAGTCTTGGATTGCCGTGTGCTAGTTGTTGTAAATGAAGCTCACTCGAGGATATGTGGATTGCTTACTTTACGGGATATTTAGTTATTCGGAGTAAAAATGCTACTTATACTGCGTATTGCCCCTTTATAACCATGATTTTTTGCAAGTAACATGAAACATTTAGGTATGCAAAGTGTTTTGTCATGATTTTTTGGTATCGTTAAAAATTAGCGTTTAAAATCAAACAGATATAGCTCATGGAACAATGATTTTAACGAACATCGACTAATCCACTCACAAAATAATTGAAATTACCTGGAGCTCAGTCAAATCATCAACGTCAACATCGTTTGGCGGCTCTGTGCGTTTAAGTGGGAAGCTGAGGGACGACATAAACTAAAATTATGATTCAAGGTGGAGATGAATACGAAACTACCTCAAAAAGGCTCTCTTTTTGGCCACAATAGTATCCATTCGGATCATGTTCAACACGCACAGAGAGTTTTGGGGGGTACACTAGGTTATTGATCCGGTACAAACTGAAGTGGTTGAGTTATTAAAGAAACTTACTGACACATCAAAGATCCAATAAGTGTAGCATCAAATTCCAGACAAGTTGCTAGTATACGGTAATCGACATCAGTTGGGGTGTGAGTAACAGAAGCATGGGGCATAATCCAGACTACTGGAATTCCATCAATTTCAGCTTGAACATAAAATCCTTTTATGCTAATAAATGCCTTTTGACATAATTATTAGTTTATTCCAACTAACCTTTCGAACTGCTTGTGTTGCCACAACAAGATTCAAAAATTCCACACACAGTCTTCGACTGATAGAGATTAAAGAAGGGTGGAATTGGGTGAGTTTAGGAAGCTTCTCAAAGAGAAACAATAAGTTAAGGCTGTCACTTATATCCCGCAGAGCATCCTGCCTCGTAGGGTATCTAAAACTCTAGTGAATCAAGACATGGCAGATACCTTTCTTTTACGATTTGATGAAGCGTGTATCTTGGCTTATTTATCCTTACTCGAAACTCCTTCTCTTTATCTTTCTTTTCTCGTGCTTTCTTGAGCTTTACATGGAATATCCGAAGTTTTCTAAATGTTTCTATCAAAGGTTCATGTGACAGAAACGCTATATCTTTTGCATTGTAATAAACCCTAGGTTGACTGTTTCCCTTTCCAACCTTTTTTCTGCTTCTGGGTTCTACTGGATATATCCCTTTCAATATACATAGCCGTCTGAAAAATGAGAGAACAAGTGACAAACCTACCTAAAATTAGGAAGGTTTAGCTGCAAGCGTCTCATTGCCTGCTTTTGACTGAGAAACGCGACAACCTGACCTTTCGTGTGCTAACATAGAAATGTAATACCTTCTTAGCAGAAACCTACCTTTTTCTTCATTGTTCCCCCCATCACGCTTAAGCTTTTAAAAAATAGGTGACCTAGAAAGTAGCAATCTGGTATATTTGAACACGAAAACGGTCAGTATCTGAAATAACTAACTTCTAAATTTCGATATTTACAATCTACGTGTATAGTTCAAATGATTGCTTGTGTTTTTTATTTGGGCCTCGAAGAGCGTATGTTTCTTTCTGTAAAACATTACTGTCTTAGCTATTTTGTTATTAACCCACCCGTTTGTTTCTTTTCAGAGATCATCTTTGTATCATCTTGGAGCTAAAGGGCTTCAGATCGATATAACTCTTACTGATGTTTAATTCTGGGGGTGAAAATACGTTCGCTTTCTTAATCATGATCAGAAACAGACATATATTTTGAAAATACAAGATCGTATCATATGTAAGTCGCTGTTCGCATTCAATTGCATAGAGTTATTGGCTTGAAATACAGGTATTCAATCGAGGCACAGCTTTATTCACTTCCTCTAGGCGCAACACCATATTCGGTACGTTAATAAAAAAATTCTTCATGGAGGCCAACATCTGTCCTCACACTATAAAGTTAAAGACAACCACCAAGTATCACTAAAACCAAAATCTCTAATGTGGTCGAGATTACTTCTAAAGTCAACATTGGTTCTGTTACAGAAAATCAAGAATATTAAGAATAGAGAAAAACTAAAGAAGGTTCTGCTTGAAATGGATTGTTTAACTAGTCAGATCGGAAATTATTCAATATCTGAGAGCAACCAAGATATCTGATATGAGTGCAAATTCATTCTGCATAGCTAGTAATACCCTCGTGGCGGATCTTTCCAAAACGCCCACATACTAGCTAAGATAAATCTGTCTAACATTGGGATGGCTCTGAACATATCGTCGCCAGTAAAGACAGAGATATACAACCACAAAACGACTGACTAGTTGCTCCGTAATGTCATTTAACTTTTTGGAATCCCCGATTGCTTTTGGAGACTATGTTCATGTAACCAAAAATCTCTACTTCGGTCACTCGTGTACTTCAATCGACAGATTGAGTGATAGCAGAATATAGGAATTCCCAATTTTTTCAAGATGAGTTCTGGTAGCTACAGGAGGACCAGAATTTGGCTAAATGTAAACACCGTGAACGCGCACAACCAGGCTCACTTAGTCCTATAGCACACACTATCAGACAATCTTAAGGTTTACCGGGTAGGCTTATGTTTAGGGAAAGACTGGGACAAGTTAATAACAACCAATATGTTTTTGGTACTTGTATTCAAGTTCGAAACCGAATACGTCTTGAAAACCTTTTCGCAATATTACAAGGTAGTTTCATTATCTCTATTAGGATTGCTAACTGATGGGTTCACTGATGAGGAAAATCCAATTCAATTCATCTACATGCTGATGAGACTTGTAATAGTACTCAAATAGTAAATATCTGGGGATGTCTTTTTAATCACTGAACTCAATGATCACGATTATTCCTGTTTTCGAGTGTCGTGTGCTTGCAGATTTGTGGTCCAGTTCGGTGTTAGTACATCTATCTTTATTACTATGATGATATAACTAATCTCAAAACTGTAGATTTGTTATGATATGACCACCTAATCTATAAGATCTTACATATAAGTCATATCATTGTCTACATTGAATCGTCCTGGTAAGGTCGTCAGCAACATGGTGTCTAGCGCTCCTAAAGAACACATTAAGGACGCAGATAGAACAATATATTTAATATGAACAAACGAGTTAAGTTACATAAGAATGACCACGTTCACAAGGCTGAGCCATGCCATGGGATTCATTTAATTTGGATGTTCCCGCGTTCAACATCGTGGACCTTCTCTTAGTGTTATACGTTGAAAGTAAGTCTTCTCAGTAATTATATGTCCAGCTCCGAAGATCATGTGGTTAGTAGCCAATACCATCACAGATTAAGTGAAGTAACAGTAGTCTAACCACAGAGAGTAAGAATTCTAACTACTGTTCCAGTTAGTTTATTAAGTTTAGTTCGGTGTATTTGGTTACGAGGAGATTTTCTCGACCTCCTTATTATTTAACCGAAAATGAGGTTTAGTAATACTACTATTACATATGAATTGTTATCAAAAATCCATTTAATACGTGAAAATGATGATAGTTATATGAATCTCGGACAGATAACTGACGGTAATTCGTTGAACGCAAATGCAAATGTTCGTACAATGTGGGACACCGGGAGAGCCTTCCAAATTGCTGCAGAAATGAGAAGATACAACCTAGAGGTACTTGGGATCAGTGAAACACATTGGACACAAGTTGGACAACAACGACTAACTTCAGGAGAACGCCTGTTATACTCTGGCCATGAAGAAGAAAATGCCCCACATACACAAGGAGTTGCATTGATGCTGTCTAAACAAGCGCAAAAGGCACTTATATGATGGGAATCTCATGGACCAAGGATCATCAAAGCCTCCTTCAAAACAAAGAGAGAGGGCATTTCAATGAACATCATCCAATGCTATGCGCCTACCAACGATTACAATGAAGACGCTAAAGATCAATTCTACAATAGGCTGCAGTCAATCATAGAGAAGTGCCCAACAAAGAACATGACCATTCTGATGGGAGATTTCAACGCCAAGGTTGGAACGGACAACACATCATGGGACGACACGGACTGGGAGAAAGGAACGAAAATAGTGAGAGATTTGCAAACCTATGTGCCTTCAATAAACTGGTCATAGGCGGCACCATATTCCCACATAAACGCATACACAAAACCACATGGACTTCACCAGATCACTCTACACAAAACCAAATCGACCATATTTGCATCAACAAAACGTTCAGGAGGACTATAGAGGACGTGAGAACCAAGAGAGGAGCTGATATAGCATCAGATCATCACTTGCTGGTCGCCAAGATGAAATTGAAACTCAAGAAACACTGGACAATGGGGCGGACAATATCACAAAAGTTCAATACGGCCTTTCTTCAGGATACTGACAAACTCAACAAATTCAAGATGGTCCTCAGCAACAAGTTCCAGGCCTTTCATGATCTACTCAATGGAGAAGGAACTACTGTGGAGAGCAACTGGAATGGGATCAAAGAGGCAATCACTTCAACATGTCATGAGGTCCTGGGCCACAAGAAGCACCATCACAAGGAATGGATCACTGTTGATACACTGAATAAGATTCAAGAAAGGAGAAACAAGAAGGCAGCAATCAATACCAGTCGAACAAGAGCAGAAAAAGCAAAGGCACAAGCTGAATACACAGAAGTAAACAAACAAGTGAAGAGGAGCATCAGAACCAACAAACGTAAATATGTGGAAGATTTAGTGACGGCGGCGGAAAAGGCTGCAAGAGAAGGAAACATGAGACAATTGTATGACACGACAAAGAAACTCTCTGGAAATCGCCGCAAACCAGAACGACCAGTGAAAAGCAAGGAAGGCAAGGTAATCACCAATATTGAAGAGCAACAAAACAGGTGAGTAGAACACTTCAAAGAACTCTTGAATCGACCAGCTCCACTGAACCCACCCAACATCGAAGCAGCACATACGGACCACCCAATTAATGTTGGCCCACCAACAATTGAAGAAATCAGCATGGCCATCAGACAAATCAAGAGTGGCAAAGCAGCAGGACCAGACAACATTCCAGTAGAGGCACTGAAAGCAGACGTAGCGGCAAGTGCAAGGATACTCCACATCCTCTTCAATAAGATTTGGAATGAGGAACAAGTACCAACAGACTTGAAAGAAGAACATCTGGTCAAAATACCAAAGAAAGGCGATCTCAGCAACTGTGATAACTACAGGGGCATCACTCTTCTCTCAATACCGGGAAAAGTCTTCAACAGGGTATTGTTAAACAGAATGAGGGACTCCGTAGACGCACAACTTCTTGACCAACAGGCAGGATTCTGTAAGGAAAGATCGTGTACAGACCAAATCGCAACTCTACGGATCATTGAGGAACAATCAATTGAATGGAATTCATCACTCTACATCAACTTCATTGACTACGAGAAAGCTTTTGATAGTATGGATAGGACAACACTATGGAAACTTCTTCGACACTACGGCGTGCCTCAGAATATAGTCAATATCATACAGAGTTCATATGATGGATTAAACTGCAAAATTGTGCATGAAGGACAGTTGACAAAGTCGCTCGATGTAAAGACCAGTGTCAGGCAAAATTACTAACTCTCACCCTTTCTCTTTCTCCTGGTGATCGACTGGATCATGAAGACGTCAATATTTGGGGGGAAGCACGGGATACAATGGACATCTAAGATGCAGTTGGACGATCTAGACTTCGCAGATGATCTGGCCCTTCTATCCCAAACGCAACAACAAATGCAGGAGAAGACGAACAGTGTAGCAGCAGCCTTAGCAACAGTAGGTCTCAATATACACAAAGGGAAAAGCAGGATTCTCCGATACAACACAGAATGCATTAATCCAATCACAATTAACGGAGAAGATTTGGAAGATGTAAAAACCTTTACATATCTGGGCAGCATCATTGATGAACATGGTGAATCTGATGCAGATGTGAAGGCGCATCGGTAAAGCAAGAGCAGCAGATTTACAACTGAGGAACATCTGGAACTCAAAGCAACTGTCAACCAACACCAAGGTCAGGATTTTCAATACAAATGTCAAGACAGTTCTACTGTATGGGGCGGAAACCTGGAGAACTACGAAAGCCATCATCCAGAAAATACAGGTGTTTATTAACAGTTGTCTACGCAAAATACTTCAGATCCGTTGGCCGGACACTATTAGCAACAACGTACTGTGGGAGAGAACAAACCAGATCCCAGAGGATGAAGAAATCAGGAAGAAGCGCTGGAAGTGGATAGGACACACATTGAGGAAAGCACCCAACTGCGTCACAACACAAGCCCTCACATGGAATCCCCAAGGCCAAAGGAAAAGAGGAAGACCAAAGGACACATTACGCCGGGAAATGGAGATAGACATGAGAAAAATGAACAAGAATTGGATGGAACTAGAAAAGAAGGGCGTAAGTAAGTAAGTTAATGCATCTTTGAGATATATCCTCTAGA